GACATGCAGACTGATGCAACAGGGTTTGAATGAACAAAGAAAACGGCCAACAGATTGCACATTTGCTGACCTGTATCTGAACAGACTGCACAATAGCCTGACCTGTATCTGAACAGATTACACAATAGCCAGACCTGTATCTGAACAGATTGCACAATAGCCAGACCTGTATCTTAACAGATTGCACAATAGCCTGACCTGTATCTGAACAGATTACACAATAGCCTGACCTGTATCTGAACAGACTACACAGTTGCCTGACCTGTATCTGAACAGATTACACAATAGCCAGACCTGTATCTGAACAGATTACACAATAGCCAGACCTGTATCTGAACAGATTACACAATAGCCAGACCTGTATCTGAACAGGTTGCACAATAGCCTGACCTGTATCTGAACAGATTACACAATAGCGTGACCTGTATCTGAACAGATTACACAATAGCCAGACCTGTATCTGAACAGATTACACAATAGCCAGACCTGTATCTGAACAGATTACACAATAGCCAGACCTGTATCTGAACAGATTACACAATAGCCAGACCTGTATCTGAACAGATTACACAATAGCCAGACCTGTATCTGAACAGATTACACAATAGCCAGACCTGTATCTGAACAGATTACACAATAGCCAGACCTGTATCTGAACAGGTTGCACAATAGCCTGACCTGTATCTGAACAGATTACACAATAGCGTGACCTGTATCTGAACAGATTACACAATAGCCAGACCTGTATCTGAACAGATTACACAATAGCCTGACCTGTATCTGAACAGATTACACAATAGCTTGACCTGTATCTGAACAGATTACACAATAGCCAGACCTGTATCTGAACAGATTACACAATAGCCAGACCTGTATCTGAACAGACCGCACAATTTCCTGACCTGTATTTGAACAGACCGCACAATAGCCAGACCTGTATCTGAACAGACTGCACAATTTTCTGACCTGTATCTGAACAGACTGCACAATTTTCTGACCTGTATCTGAACAGACTGCACAGTTCTGACCTGTATCTGAACAGACTGCACAATTTCCAGATTTGTATTTGTGAATCATCAGATACAGACTACAGTAGCAGATAGATATAATGAAGCCAGTAAATTAATTTTTTTTACGCCTGAAATACTACAGTAACAACTGAATTTAATTAATCTTTCACAACTGAAATACTACAGTTACAGCTGGATATAATGAATCTTTTATACCTGAAATACTACAGTAACAACTGAATATAACGAATCTTTTATACCTGAAATACTACAGTAACAACTGAATATAACGAATCTTTTACACACCTGAAATACTACAGTAACAACTGGATGTAATGAATCCTTTACACCTGAAATACTTCTGTAATATCTGGATTTAATTAATCTTTTACACTTGAAATATTACAATAACTGAATATAATACATATTTAACACCTGAAATACTACAGTAACAACTGAATATAATGAGTCTTAACACCTGAAATACTGCAGTAACAACTGAATATAATGCATATTTAACACCTGAAATACTACAGTAACAACTAAATATAATGAGTCTTTAAGACCTGAAATACTACAGTTACAACTGAATATAATGAGTCTTTCACACCTGAAATACTACAGTTACAACTGAATATAATGAGTCTTTAACACCTGAAATACTACAGTAACAACTAAATATAATGAGTCTTTAACACCTGAAATACTTTAGTAACAAGTGGACAAAATAAATATGTTACACCTGAACTACGACAATAACTACTCGATAAAATGAATCTTTATAACTGAAATATGAAATAAACTACTCTCAAGCGTAACCGCTTCTTTTACCTGTGCACAGGTGCAGTTTTTCAACAGTTTTTATTTTTAAATTGAACAAACTTGGATGGAAGTGATTATTTATGGTTGCACCTTTACAAAATCTGAGGACACCACCTTGTTTTTGCACCTGTTGAGCTACGCCTGTCGCGTTACGGGGACATGTGTAAGCAATTGAGTTGTGAAGCCTGTTATTGGTGTCTTTTTTGTTCACATTTACAGCGGGAAAAGGCAAACATTACTTGATTTTCTGAACTGATTGATTGATTGAGCTTTCATTTGCATAGAGAATTTATGGAGGTCAGAAATCTAATACTCTTCTTCTTCTTTTCTCTTCTCCTGGAATGCCTCACGATGTCACGGGAGGAAGAGATCTTGCAACAGGCCCTTCTGTTCACTTCGTATGTAATACTTTTCAGTGTCTCTGATATTTCTGTGGTCTATCTTCTGTGTGGTCGACCTGTGGGTCTGTTACCACTGTATCTGCTCTCTGTGGGGCCCTGTCTGCTGCCATTCTTGTTACATGGCCAAACCATTTGATTTGTTGTCCACCTATAAAGTTCAGTGTTGGTCCTGTGCTGATTCTCCTGATATCGTTCCTAAGTCTATCTTTCCCCATTCCACCTAGCATAGTACGTAAACATTTAATTTCTGTCCTGACTATTTTCCTTCTGTATTCTGAAGACGGTGTCCATGTTTGACATTGATAGCAGAGTGTTGATAAGAATTTCAAAATTGGTACCATTTAGCGTAAAACTTGTTATGCTTTATAGCATCTTTGTTTGATTTCTTTATTCATTCTTCCATCTTGGGAAAAAATACTCACCAGCAGATATGTCTGCTTTAATTGGTCTTCATCAATTTTGATATTGGTTGTTCTTCCTTTTCTGGAGAATGTCATCACTTCTGTTTTGTCTACATTGATCGTAGCTGTGGCATTCTGAGTGGAGTCTATTCATATGTTCTTGTAGCTGTACTGCTGTTGGTGCTATGATTGCCTGGTCATCGGGGGATAGCAATTCATTTAGTCATTCTCTCATTTTGTCCCCCTCGCTGATGTTGTCCCCCTCGCTGATGTTGTCCCCCTCGCTGATGTTGTCCCCTCGCTGATGTTAACTGATATGCAAATGTGATGAGCATACTAATACTAAACTTCACATTTGTAATTCTGATGTCAAATCAGTGCTGTTTGATGGAGCAGAACATGGACAACAACTAATCAACTACAGATATTCATTTACTGGTGCCTGCGCAGAATAAAGGGAATTCAGGGGTACAGTAGAATCACTCATGTAGAGCTCTATGAGAGAACTAAATAAGTTCCCTGGAGCAAGAAGTCAGTGCTACAGTAGAATCACTCATGTAGAGCTCTATGAGAGAACTAAACAAGTTCCATGGACCAAGAAGTCAGGGGTACAGTAGAATCACTCATGTAGAGCTCTATGAGAGAACTAAACAAGTTCCCTGGAGCAAGAAGTCAGTGCTACAGTAGAATCACTCATGTAGAGCTCTATGAGAGAACTAAACAAGTTCACTGGAGCAAGAAATCAGGGGTACAGTAGAATCACTCATGTAGAGCTCTATGAGAGAACTAAACAAGTTCCATGGACCAAGAAGTCAGGGCTACAGTAGAATCACTTATGTAGAGCTCTATGAGAGAACTAAACAAGTTCCCTGGAGCAAGAAGTCAGGGCTACAGTAGAATCACTCATGTAGAGCTCTATGAGAGAACTAAACAAGTTCCATGGACCAAGAAGTCAGGAACAGATGCTGGCTTTGGATAGGATACACATTGAGAAAACCTAAGAACAGTATAACTAGAATGTCTTTGTGTAGAATGATGCATCAGTAGTTGATTGATTGAAACATGTAGAATGATGCCTCAGTGCTTGATTCATTGAAACATGTAGAATGATGCATTAGTAGTTGATTGATTGAAACATGTAGAATGATGCATCATTGGTTGATTGATTGAAACATGTAGAATGATGCATCAGTGGTTGATTGATTGAAACATGTAGAATGATGCATTAGTGGTTGATTGATTGAAACATGTAGAATGATGCATCAGTGGTTGATTGATTGAAACATGTAGAATGATGCATCAGTGGTTGATTGATTGAAACATGTAAAGTGATGTGTGAGTGGTTGATTGATTGAAACATGTAGAATGATGCATCAGTAGTTGATTGATTGAAACATGTATAATGATGCATCATTGGTTGATTGATTGAAACATGTAGAATGATGCATCAGTGCATGATTGATTGAAACATGTAGAATGATGCCTCAGTGCTTGATGGATTGACACATGTAGAATGATGCCTCACTGGTTTATTGATTGAAACATGTAGAATGATGCATCAGTGGTTGATTGATTGAAACATGTAGAATGATGCATCAGTGGTTGGTTGATTGAAACATGTAGAATGATGCCTCAGTGGTTGATTCATTGACACTTGTAGAATGATGCCTCAGTGCTTGATTGATTGAAACATGTAGAATTATGCATCAGTGGTTGATTGATTGAAACATGTAGAATGATGCCTCAGTGGTTGATTGATTGAAACATGTAGAATGATGCATTAGTGGTTGATTCATTGGCACATGTAGAATGATGCCTCAGTGCTTTATTGATTGAAACATGTAGAATGATGCCTCAGTGCTTAATTGATTGAAACATGTAGAATGATGCATTAGTGGTTGATTGATTGAAACATGTAGAATGATGCATCAGTGCTTGATTGATTGAAACATGTAGAATGATGCCTCAGTGCTTGATTGATTGAAAATGTAGAATGATGCATTAGTGCTTGATTGATTGAAACATGTAGAATGATGCATCAGTGGTTTATTGAATAAAACATGTAGAATGATACATCAGTGGTTTATTGAATAAAACATGTAGAATGATGCATCAGTGGTTTATTGAATAAAACATGTAGAATGATGCATTAGTGGGTGATTGATTGAAACATGTAGAATGATGCATCAGTGCTTGATTCAATGAAACTTGTAGAATGATGCATTAGTGGTTGATTGATTGAAACATGTAGAATGATGCATCAGTGTTTGATTGATTGAAACATGCAGAATGATGCCTCAGTGCTTGATTGACACATGTAGAATGATGCAGCAATGCTAGATTGATAATCATCCTGTAACCTCCAGACAGGTGTGTCGCCCTCAGACTTTGTGAAGCAGAACTTTACCTGTCACAGCCCCTTACACAGTTTGCGGAGAGCTGCTGTTGTCAACAACCCCTACATGTCACCTTTACTGGCTCCAGATGAACTTTTGAGGGACCTCCCCTTGGTTTCCATTGTGGTAAGTGTATGTGCCCCACAGTTAGATCTCCTGTATAATCTCCCTGTCTGTTATCTCTAGTTAGTCCTCTAGTATGATCTCCCTGCCTTTTACCTGTAGTTAGATCTCCTGTATAATCTCCCTGTCTGTTATCTCTAGTTAGTCCTCTAGTATGATCTCCCTGTCTTTTACCTGTAATTAGTTCTCTAGTATGATCTCCCTGTCTGTTACCTCTAGTATGATCTCCCTGTCCTTTACCTCTAGTTAGTTCTCTAGTATGATCTCCCTGCCTTTTACCTCTAGTTAGTTCTCTAGTATGATCTCCCTGTCAGTTATCTGTCGTTATTTTTCAGGTATAAACTCCCTGTCTGTTACCTGTAGTTAGTTCTCAGGTATGGTCTCCCTGTCAGTTATTTCTAGTTAGTTTTTGTCTACCTCTTCTGCGGTCGACAAAAACAAAAACTAAAGACTTGTAATATCTTATTGATTATGTCATAGTGAAAATGTGCAACAGACAGGACGTTTGGGTAATTTAGTCTTTGTGCCGCACTGAATGCTGGACAGACTATCATCTCGTTATTTTGAAACTAAACCTCTGCATTCAGCCACCAAGACAATCGCAGGGTCGTAAGACTTACAAGAAGCTCAACATCTCCAGGCTGGGAAATGAATTCACAAAAGATTTGTTGATATTCACGCTGGAAGATTGTCTACAGTCCATCACCTTAGATGGCCCAAATATGGAGGATACATGGACCACCCTGAGAGATCTGATCTACAGCACAGCTTTCAAGACACTAGGACCGGTTACGAGGAAACACCAGGATTGGTTTGATAAAAACTCAGAAGATATTCATCATTTACTAATGGAGAAACACAGCCTCTATAAATCTTTGTTAAGTGACCCAAATTCACCATCAAAGAAGAACTCCTTCAATAATATTAGTAAAACTGTTGAGACCAAACTTGGACTGATGTGAGACTTGTAGCTAAGTAGTAAAGCTGATGAGATTCAACATTTTGCAGACAGGCCTGAGATGAACAATGTCTATGATGTTTTCAACACAGTAGATGGACCTAGGCCACCATCATCCTGTGCCCTTCTCAGCAAAGCTGGAAGTACACTACTCATTGATAACCTCTAGTCATCCATGAACCAAGAAGCTATATGTGGTTTGCTCCAGGTCCCCTATGAAAGTAGCCCTAGATGAAACAACGGTTTGCCCCATTGTCTCTATGAAAGCAGCCCTAGATGAAACAACGGTTTGCCCCATTGTCTCTATGAAAGCAGCCCTAGATGAAACAACGGTTTGCCCCATTGTCTTTATGAAAGCAGCCCTAGATGAAACAACGGTTTGCCCCAGGTCTGTATGAAAGCAGCCCTAGATGAAACAATGGTTTGCCCCAGGTCTCTATGAAAGCAGCCCTAGATGAAACAACGGTTTGCCCCATTGTCTCTATGAAAGCAGGCCTAGATGAAACAATGGTTTGCCCCATTGTCTCTATGAAAGCAGGCCTAGATGAAACAAACTCTTCTGGAGACCAAGAAAGCCATTAATCAAATGTTGAAACTGATTCCTCCTACATGTTGAACTAACTCATCCTACATGTTGAACTAACTCCTCCTACATGTTGAACTAACTCCTCCTACATGTTGAACTGACTCCTCCTACATGTTGAACTGATTCCTCCTACATGTTGAACTAACTCCTCCTACATGTTGAACTAACTCCTCCTACATGTTGAACTAACTCCTCCTACATGTTGAACCTCTTCTTCTTCTTCTTCGTTCACCGGCTGTGAATTCTGGCGGAAGGTCCCGGTTAATCGTCCGCTTGGACTTTTGGCTTTACCTGGACCTGAGTTTTACGTGTACAACCGTTTTGCTGTTCCCTGCCTCGCGGGCAGATGTACTCCCACTTCGAGTCAGGCCTATTTCTAGGATGATTGTGGCCATTGTTTTGTGTGGGTCGAGACGTTGCCTGATTTGTGTGGTGTCCTTTTTGTCGCCTTCTCCGCAGGTATTGCCCCCAGAGTACCCCTTTAGGGCAGCCCCTTGTGGAACGGTTGGCCTTCAAGGAAAGGCAGGGACAGATCATGAGCATTCCCCACCATCCAAGGAGGCTTCTATTTATGCAGAGCCGGCACACGGCGCTCTGGTTCTGGGCTCACCCAAGGAATCGTCACGTCCTGCACATGCCTGCTTAACCTCACAACCGTATTAGGCCTCCCGCTTAACAAGGGCTGGGCCCTCCCGAAGTCAACGGGGAGAAGCCCGCGAGTTCTGGACTTTTGTGACCACACGAATAGGTACATTCTTTTTTTCCGCACGTTAAATATCTTTGACGAGCCGTTAGCCCGACAGAATTTAACATCCTGCGTCAGGCATATCGTTATCTGTTTGGTCCCAACACTCGGGCGAGTGGAGTCTTTGGGTGTGGACATTTGGAATTTTTCTGTTCAATACGATTTGTGATGGTCGGATTTTGAGCTTACTTGTGTGCCGTAGGATATAGTTTTGTCGGACATTTAGGCTTAGCCAGCCAATGGACTGTTGCTATTGTGGTGTACCTCCGCGCGGTGATGACGACACTGAGGGTTAACAGAGGATGTACATGGGTAGAATCTTGCTGTGAGATGCCACCCACAGGAGATGTTACTCGTCTATGCTGTGGGTAAATCTCTAGGTCAAGGGTTGAGTCTCAGCAGAACAATGTTCTCTTCACTCCGCAATCTGTTAACCAAGTGTTGTAATTTTAGTTGTACATTTGGCAAGCACTTTACTCATGTTCCTAATGAGTTTTGATAACCTTTTTCACCCATGCGTTTAGGGGCGGGCTGATGAGAGCCACAAGAGCACATCACCTCTGGGGGCAGCCATAACTCCGAGATCCCCTGACAGCTCTGTTAATGCTCATTTGAGACATTATCCGTGGCGCACGACGAGGACGTGCTGCAGGGGTCTTGCGTGAGGTTCCGTAAAACCAGAACAGTGAAGGACTGGCGCCCGAGTGACGTACGGAGTATCTCCTTATACACATCATGTTGGACTTAACTTTCCCTCACGCCTGTGACATAAATCACCGCGCCACCATGTTGAACTAATTCCTCCTGCATGTTGAACTGACTTTCCCTACATATCCCAGGAGACAGTGCGGCTGGTATGGGGAGATTTTTGTGTGACTGAACCAAGAACCTGCCGGTGTGTGCATGTAGAAGATGATATGTCATGTGTGCATGTAAAAGATGATATGTCATGTGTGCATGTAGAAGATGATAGGTCATGTGTGCATGTAAAAGATGATATGTGTGCATGTAGGAGATGATATGTCATGTGTGCATGTAGGAGATGATATGTCATGTGTGCATGTAAAAGATGATATGTCATGTGTGCATGTAGAAGATGATAGGTCATGTGTGCATGTAAAAGATGATATGTCATGTGTGCATGTAGGAGATGATATGTCATGTGTGCATGTAGAAGATGATAGGTCATGTGTGCATGTAGAAGATGATATGTCATGTGTGCATGTAGGAGATTATATGTCATGTGTGCATGTAGGAGATATGTCATGTGTGCATGTAAAAGATTATATGTCATGTGTGCATGTAGGATATGATATGTCATGTGTGCATGTAAAAGATGATATGTCATGTGTGCATGTAGAAGATGATATGTCATGTGTGCATGTAGGAGATGATATGTCATGTGTGCATGTAGAAGATGATAGGTCATGTGTGCATGTAGGAGATGATATGTCATATGTGCATGTAGGAGATGATATGTCATGTGTGCATGTAGAAGATGATATGTCATGTGTGCATGTAGAAGATGATATGTCATGGACATCACATGTCTACATGTTTATGTGTCAGATATATTTTTGTTTTCAGGCTTGTCACCTGGACCCCCTTCTAGATGACTCGATTATGTTTGCACGACGTCTTCATAACCTGCAGGTTTCTGTCAACCTTCACCTTGTTGATGATCTTCCACACGGGTTCCTCAACTTTGCCTTGATGAGTGTAGAGGCTAAACAAGCTGCAGATCTGTGCGGTCGCCAGCTCCTAGAGATGTTACAGTGCAGCCATGTTTGATTCTGTCAGATTATAGTGCAGCCATGTTTGATTCTGTCAGATTATAGTGCAGCCATGTTTGATTCTGTCAGATTATAGTGTAGCCATGTTTGATTCTGTCAGATTATAGTGCAGCTAAGTTTGATTCTGTCAGATTATAGTGTAGCCATGTTTGATTCTGTCAGATTATAGTGCAGCCATGTTTGATTCTGTCAGATTATAGTGCAGCTAAGTTTGATTCTGTCAGATTATAGTGCAGCCATGTTTGATTCTGTCAGATTATAGTGCAGCCATGTTTGACTCTGTCAGATTATAGTGCAGCCATGTTTGATTCTGTCAGATTATAGTGCAGCCATGTTTGACTCTGTCAGATTATAGTGCAGCTAAGTTTGATTCTGTCAGATTATAGTGCAGCCATGTTTGATTCTGTCAGATTATAGTGTAGCTAAGTTTGACTCTGTCAGATTATAGTGCAGCCATGTTTGATTCTGTCAGATTATAGTGCAGCCATGTTTGATTCTGTCAGATTATAGTGTAGCTAAGTTTGATTCTGTCAGATTATAGTGCAGCCATGTTTGATTCTGTCAGATTATAGTGCAGCCATGTTTGATTCTGTCAGATTATAGTGTAGCTAAGTTTGATTCTGTCAGATTATAGTGTAGCTAAGTTTGATTCTGTCAGATTATAGTGTAGCTAAGTTTGATTCTGTCAGATTATAGTGTAGCTAAGTTTGATTCTGTCAGATTATAGTGCAGCCATGTTTGATTCTGTCAGATTATAGTGTAGCTAAGTTTGATTCTGTCAGATTATAGTGCAGCCATGTTTGATTCTGTCAGATTATAGTGCAGCCATGTTTGATTCTGTCAGATTATAGTGTAGCTAAGTTTGATTCTGTCAGATTATAGTGCAGCCATGTTTGATTCTGTCAGATTATAGTGTAGCTAAGTTTGATTCTGTCAGATTATAGTGCAGCCATGTTTGATTCTGTCAGATTATAGTGCAGCCATGTTTGATTCTGTCAGATTATAGTGCAGCCATGTTTGATTCTGTCAGATTATAGTGTAGCTAAGTTTGATTCTGTCAGATTATAGTGCAGCTAAGTTTGATTCTGTCAGATTATAGTGTAGCTAAGTTTGATTCTGTCAGATTATAGTGTAGCCATGTTTGATTCTGTCAGATTATAGTGCAGCTAAGTTTGATTCTGTCAGATTATAGTGTAGCTAAGTTTGATTCTGTCAGATTATAGTGTAGCTAAGTTTGATTCTGTCAGATTATAGTGCAGCCATGTTTGATTCTGTCAGATTATAGTGCAGCCATGTTTGATTCTGTCAGATTATAGTGCAGCCATGTTTGATTTTGTCAGATTATAGTGTAGCTAAGTTTGATTCTGTCAGATTATAGTGCAGCCATGTTTGATTCTGTCAGATTATAGTGTAGCCATGTTTGACTCTGTCAGATTATAGTGTAGCTATGTTTGATTCTGTCAGATTATAGTGTAGCCATGTTTGACTCTGTCAGATTATAGTGCAGCCATGTTTGATTCTGTCAGATTATAGTGCAGCCATGTTTGATTCTGTCAGATTATAGTGTAGCTAAGTTTGATTCTGTCAGATTATAGTGTAGCTAAGTTTGACTCTGTCAGATTATAGTGTAGCTAAGTTTGATTCTGTCAGATTATAGTGTAGCTAAGTTTGATTCTGTCAGATTATAGTGCAGCCATGTTTGACTCTGTCAGATTATAGTGCAGCCATGTTTGATTCTGTCAGATTATAGTGTAGCCATGTTTGACTCTGTCAGATTACAGTGCAGCCATGTTTGAATCTGTCAGATTATAGTGCAGCCATGTTTGACTCTGTCAGATTATAGTGCAGCCATGTTTGAATCTGTCAGATTATAGTGCAGCCATGTTTGACTCTGTCAGATTATAGTGCAGCCATGTTTGACTCTGTCAGATTATAGTGCAGCCATGTTTGACTCTGTCAGATTATAGTGCAGCCATGTTTGATTCTGTCAGATTATACTGTAGCCATGTTTGAATCTGTCAGATTATAGTGTAGCCATGTTTGATTCTGTCAGATTATAGTGTAGCCATGTTTGATTCTGTCAGATTATAGTGTAGCCATGTTTGATTCTGTCAGATTATAGTGTAGCCATGTTTGATTCTGTCAGATTATAGTGTAGCTAAGTTTGATTCTGTCAGATTATAGTGTAGCTAAGTTTGATTCTGTCAGATTATAGTGTAGCCATGTTTGATTCTGTCAGATTATAGTGCAGCCATGTTTGATTCTGTCAGATTATAGTGCAGCTAAGTTTGATTCTGTCAGATTATAGTGTAGCTAAGTTTGATTCTGTCAGATTATAGTGTAGCTAAGTTTGACTCTGTCAGATTATAGTGTAGCTAAGTTTGATTCTGTCAGATTATAGTGTAGCTAAGTTTGATTCTGTCAGATTATAGTGTAGCTAAGTTTGACTCTGTCAGATTATAGTGTAGCTAAGTTTGATTCTGTCAGATTATAGTGTAGCTAAGTTTGATTCTGTCAGATTATAGTGTAGCTAAGTTTGATTCTGTCAGATTATAGTGCAGCCATGTTTGATTCTGTCAGATTATAGTGCAGCTAAGTTTGATTCTGTCAGATTATAGTGCAGCTAAGTTTGATTCTGTCAGATTATAGTGTAGCGATGTTTGATTGTCAGAATATAGTGCAGCCATGTTTGACTCTGTCAGATTATAGTGCAGCCATGTTTGATTCTGTCAGATTATAGTGTAGCTAAGTTTGATTCTGTCAGATTACAGTGTAGCTAAGTTTGATTCTGTCAGATTATAGTGTAGCTAAGTTTGATTCTGTCAGATTATAGTGTAGCTAAGTTTGATTCTGTCAGATTATAGTGTAGCTAAGTTTGACTCTGTCAGATTATAGTGTAGCTAAGTTTGACTCTGTCAGATTATAGTGTAGCTAAGTTTGATTCTGTCAGATTATAGTGTAGCTAAGTTTGATTCTGTCAGATTATAGTGTAGCTAAGTTTGATTCTGTCAGATTATAGTGTAGCTATGTTTGACTCTGTCAGATTATAGTGTAGCTAAGTTTGATTCTGTCAGATTATAGTGTAGCCATGTTTGATTCTGTCAGATTATAGTGCAGCCATGTTTGATTCTGTCAGATTATAGTGAAGCCATGATTGATTCTGTCAGATTATAGTGCAGCTAAGTTTGATTCTGTCAGATTATAGTGCAGCCATGTTTGATTCTGTCAGATTATAGTGAAGCCATGATTGATTCTGTCAGCAGACAACTGACTGACATCCATTGTCCTCGCTGTGTGTACATTCACTGGTAATTCTACAGGTTCAGTTGCCCTTATGACATTTCTCAGCTGGCAATAATGTAGTCTCTCCAGTGAACACTAGAGCTTTATTAATTGTGTTGTTATTGTTGTGTTAAACCGTACTGAAATGTACCAAAGTTTGTAATTTCTTTCAGTGGCATTTAAAAAAAATAAAAAATTCTTATTATTCTCTGGCTGTAAACTCCAGCAGAAAGTTCTGCTTGTTTGTCCACTTATGGACTTTTGTTGTGCTCAATAACTTGAGCTATTGGGTGTGCATCTGTTATACAGACTTTTTGTCACTCACTTCTCAGGCAGATGCCATCTGGCTTCAAAGAAATGATGCCCTTTAACCGTTGTGCATTAGCTGAAGTACATCAGCATACAGAAAAAGTGACCCATTGTAGTGTAGTGCAGGCAAACTACCCAATGTAGGAGTAGTGTAGTGCTGGCAGACTACCTATTATAGGAGTAGTGTAGTGCTGACAGACTACCCATTGTAGGAGTAGTGTAGTGCTGGCAAACTACCTATTATAGGAGTAGTGTAGTGCTGACAGACTACTCATTGTAAGAGTAGTGTAGTGCTGACAGACTTCCCATTGTAGGAGTAGTGTAGTGCTGACAGACTACCATTGTAAAAGTAGTGAAGTGCTGACAGACTACCATTGTAAAAGTAGTGAAGTGCTGGCAGACTACCCATTGTAGGAATAGCGTAGTGCTGGCAGACTCCCATTGTAGGAGTAGTGTAGTGCTGGCAGACTACCATTGTAGGAGTAGTATAGTGCTGGCAGACTCCCATTGTAGGAGTAGTGTAGTGCTGACAGACTACTCATTGTAAGAGTAGTGTAGTGCTGACAGACTTCCCATTGTAGGAGTAGTGTAGTGCTGACAGACTACCATTGTAAAAGTAGTGAAGTGCTGACAGACTACCATTGTAAAAGTAGTGAAGTGCTGACAGACTCCCATTGTAAAAGTAGTGAAGTGCTGGCAGACTACCCATTGTAGGAATAGCGTAGTGCTGGCAGACTCCCATTGTAGGAGTAGTGTAGTGCTGGCAGACTACCATTGTAGGAGTAGTATAGTGCTGGCAGACTCCCATTGTAGGAGTAGTGTAGTGCTGACAGACTACTCATTGTAAGAGTAGTGTAGTGCTGACAGACTTCCCATTGTAGGAGTAGTGTAGTGCTGACAGACTACCATTGTAAAAGTAGTGAAGTGCAGACAGACTACCATTGTAAAAGTAGTGAAGTGCTGACAGACTCCCATTGTAAAAGTAGTGAAGTGCTGGCAGACTACCCATTGTAGGAATAGCGTAGTGCTGGCAGACTCCCATTGTAGGAGTAGTGTAGTGCTGGCAGACTACCTATTGTAGGAGTAGTATAGTGCTGGCAGACTCCCATTGTAGGAGTAGTATAGTGCTGGCAGACTCCCATTGTAGGAGTAGTGTAGTTCTGACAGACTCCCATTGTAGGAGTAGTGTAGTGATGGCAGACTACCTATTGTAGGAGTAGTGTAGTGCTGACAGACTACCTATTGTAGGAGTAGTGTAGTGCTGACAGACTACCTTTTTGTAGGAGTAGTGTAGTGCTGACAGACTACCTATTGTAGGAGTAGTGTAGTGCTGACAGACTACCTATTGTAGGAGTAGTGTAGTGCTGACAGACTACCTATTGTAGGAGTAGTGTAGTGCTGACAGAC